GATGGAGAGAGACTCACAGAGCTCTGTGTGGATCTGGGAAAGTGGTGACCCTGTAGAGAGCAGATCTGCAGCCTGATGCTGATCAATGACTCTGACTGAGCACACGCTCGTCAGCACACAGTGACAACCTGGGCCACCTACAAATCTGAGAAGTGTTATTAGACTGATTTCTAATGAGAAATTAAACCAGCTTACAATTACCTGCAGACATTAGATCAGTTTCCTCCCTTGGTATGTTTAAGCATGCCCTGTCTTCTTCTCTGACTGCTCCTAATAAAGCTGTCACTATATACGTATATCAATAAATACAGTATATCTTGTGCCGTGGCCTGACGATACAAGATTATGTGGTGACCCACTTCTACTGTATGAGTCTTAAGGGAAGTGTGTATTAGGTGCAGATCCAAACATAAAAAAATCCAGATCTAGTGGATTTTAATGTAGTTAGATTAGACTTTATAATTATCATTGGTTATAGGTCACTTATATTAAATTAAAAAAGAAGACCAAATTCACATTTTATTGTGGATGATAGGTCCAACAAAAAATTCCTGATTGTTCTTTTAACCACGAGATCTTGTCGTTTAGTCACTTTGTTTGTACGTTTTGTTAAAACACAAGGCATTTAGATAAAAGCACATGTGTGTCGAAACATCAGGCAAAACAAAAGTCTTTCTCTCTGCTGATGTCGGGGCCGCTGACAGTTTGGCAACTGTCAATGGATTAAACCAAAAAGGCTCAGATTGAAATGATGACCCGTTAAACAGAGAGGAAATTAATTTGGCAAACGTTAGTGAGTTGGCACCAGAGAGATGGAGGAAGAAGAGAGTACGAGGAGCTGGAACAATCTTCCTGTGGAGTGTGCCAACTCCCTCTGGAGCACAGTCAGGTGCTGGTGGGGCCGAGGATGCTAATCACACTCAACTGTGACTCTGCTCTCTCTGCTTTCCCACACTCAGCCGCGGCTCAACAATAGACATGTGCCTCGTTAAATGCTAATTCATCCCCACACAAGCAGCTCCCGGCGCTCCCCCGAGGCCAGCGTTTGTTGTTTGGACACTCTCAATTAAGGAGACGAGAGCTGGAGATAAACACAAATATTGTGACTGAGGATTTAGCCTAACAAGCAATCAGGTAAATGTGTCTGGGTGCAGATTTTATAATGAGATAAAAGCAACATTTTCTATGAACACTTAATATAAAGAGAAAC